CTCTTTCCAAGTCTTCTGGTTCTCAGCTTCGTGGTCGACCCTACTCAATTGCCTACTTATTTGTTACTCTTTCCAAGGCCTTGGCTTGCACAATTTGCTTTCACTCATTTTAGTCCATGATCATGGCATTTTAACCATCTTACTGGCATTTGGTAGTGTTTATATTTCACAGATAGCTTCAGACCCACCCACCAAAGGTACCTTCAATTAGCTTTGAAACTTGGAACCATTGGTTTGGTGATAATGATGGTATGATTAAATGACTTGCTTAGAAGTTACAGAGGTAGAAGTGAAAATAGAATCCAGGCACTCTGATGTTAATCTCTTGAAATAAGTATTAACGCTGAATTCCTCTGTCTGTATGAAAGCCCAGTTTCAGAATGCCTGAAAATAATTGATGAGCATTATTGATTTGTTAGGGTGAGAGAAGACAGTACGCAATCACTTGAAGGTCTACGTTATGCCGTCTATGAAAATGGCAGTCTGGAAATAAAAGAAACAATGAAAGAAGATTCTGGATTATATACTTGTTGGGTGACAAATTCCGTTGGAAAAGGTGCAGTCAATGCCAATCTGGATATTAGAGGTAACATCTTGTTTTATAAATGGAGACATCTTAGGTACATGCTAAGGCTTTAGATTTATTAATTATTTCCTGGCGAGTGCTGTTTAAAAATACTATGTTCTACACCTTTTGCTTCACAAAATTATCACATGCCTTTCAGACAATACTGTATTCAGAAGTACCAACATTTTCTCTTTCTCTTGACCTAAATTGCAAATGCAGGACTATGTTTTTTTATAGTCTGACACACTGAAGAAATGTATGTTCCTGACCTGTTGCACTAGTGCTTCTGGGAACCCACCTGGTAATACTTTTAGGTTCAACCTTCCTTCTATATTCTTTAGCACATGGAACAAGGCTGTCTTCAGTGCTATGCTCATCCCAACCAGGTTACACAATATTACTGAAGACTTCACTGCTTTTTTCCAATTTCAAAGTGAGGTCCTTGCTTTACCAGGCATCAAAATCCAGAAGCCCCTCCCTTACCTTCTTTAGAGTTCTTTTTACCCCATCTACACTTCCCGCTTTATTTCATCGAGGAACCAAACCTCTTATTGAATGTATGGGCTCCTGACGGTCCCCTATTCCACCCATTGGGATTAGACTGGGATCCAGGCTTTGGGATTTTGCTGTTGGCATTGTTCTACTCAATTTATCGGGATTAGAAAGGAAAATTCCACATTACTTGATTAATTTGGGCAGTCAGACTTTTTTTTTATCATTCTGTCAGTGCCCTAGGAACCTGGTGAAATGATTGATTTTGCCCAGTGGCAGCATTCCTGTAAAGTGTTTGCTCTTACATTAGTAGTACATACTAGGGCTATGCGAAGCTTCAGTCCCCGATTTGATTTGATGGAGATTCGGCCTGATTCGGTGGCCAAATTTCTGACTACATCGAATCGGAGGACCCTTTAATCTCTTCAAATTGAATTGGAACCCTCCGAATCAACTCTGAGAGGTTGGGAAAGATTCAGACATAGAAACAACTTTACATGTTTTTTCTACATACCTGTAGGTAGCAGGGGCTCATGAGTACTGTGTTGCTGGGGCACATGGAGTGTCCCACAGAAGCCCGGGGGGCTCCCCAGCATGCTCCCCAGTCCACTTCCAGGTCTGCAGCAGAGTGCGCAGCGTTCCCCCCCCCCGTACCCCCTCCCGGCTTGGTGACTGGTACCTCCTGGGTCTGTGGTGGCCCCCCTGCAGATGATTGCTGAACTGGGGGAGCTCAGGGGAAGGGAGGGCCCAGCACACTCCCTGGCAGATCCAGAAGTGGACTGAAAGTACTTCTGATACAATTCCGCGTTTGCCACTGAGCACGTGCGGGGGGGGGGGGGGCACTCCTGTGGAATGCTCCATCCACCCCAGCATCACAACGTTCACAAGCCACGCCGGTACCTCGAGGTATGTAAAAAAAAGTTTTAAAGCTGTGTCTATGTCTGAATCGCTGATTTTCTGAATCAGCATCGAATCTTCAGATTTGGATTTGGCCGAATCAAGTCAGGGACAGTGATCTAAATCAAAGGACCAGATCACTGTCCCTAATTTGGGCTGAATCCAAATCTAAATCGAATAGGGCCCGCTTTGCACACCGCTAGTACATACACATCCCATTTTAATTTAGGGGGTGTTTTTCTTGGCTTAAAATGAATGATAGATTTGGATAGATTCTGTTGCGACTGTAAGTCAATGAGTGTTACTGAGGACTTAATGGCACTTAGAGTTTCCAAGGCTGGTAGTTAGAAAAAAGCTCTAGTGTTTTACATGTCATTTGGGCATAGATTCATAGACGTTAGGTTGGAAGGGACCTCAGAAGGTCATTGAGTTCGACCCCCTGTCCTGGGCAGGAAAGAGCGCTGAGGTCAGACGACCCCAACTAGGTGCTTGTCCAGTCTCCTCTTTGTTTACAAAATGATTGAGAGGTAAGGAACAGGGAAACACACAATTATATTTTCACAAAGATGCTTTTTGCCATATATGGCAATATACAGCCCATAGACTTTTCTTACTTATTCAACTACTTTTACGTTCAGATTTGTCATTTAAAATAACCAGCTTGATTGTGATATTTTTTTCTCACTTGACTTTAATAAGCTTGTAATTTTTTCCTGGATCATTGCCAAAGTCTATTTCAAATGGCAATTGGGCGTATAAATTGTATTCATATTTTTTCTCTCCCTCATTCATTTCATAACACACCATTAACTAGGATTTTCACCTGTGACTTTTTCCTATAAACTCCAGATTGGTGGTATGATCCTTTTTGACACAGACGTCTGCTGCTCAAAGGAAAATGATTAGATAGTAAACTATATTTTGGCACAACTCCAAGTAAACACAAAAATCTCCTCTGTGCCCGTGTCCACCCAAGTGGTGGACTGCACAGTTGTTACAGCGCAGTACCATTGCCGCAGGTTGTTTTTTCAGACAGTACTGGACAGTAGCAATAACCTACTGCACAGTAGCTCATTACTACTGCGCAGTAGCATTGCATCATGGTTAATGCCCACCAATGCTACTGTGCAGTGGTAATGAGATACTGCACAGAAGCATCTTTTATACACAAGTTATACCAGGCGCATCTATACAAGAGGTGCGGGGAGGAATACACTAGATTGCTGCTAGGATTGTTCTCTGTTTTGTTGGAAGGAAATGTAGTATAATCACTTGTATATTGTCAATATAAATAACCTTCTGTGATCCCTCAGATGCTACAAAAATTGCAGTTACTCCAAAGAACCCACAAGTGCTGAAATCACATTCAGTGTTATTGAAATGTCTTTCTGAATATGACCCACACTTGAAACACAGCTTTAAATTATCCTGGAGAAAAGATGGAGATGAGCTTCAAATCAATAGCACAGAAGATGGGAGGTAAACAAAACAAAACGAAACAGAAACTTCTTGTCTTTATATTCTGCCTTCTGTTGTATATAGCATAGTTAATTTTATTTCCTTATGCCACGAAACATAATAATTTGAAGAGTAAATCTAGGTGTCTAACAGTGAAATACTTCATTGTGACTGAATCTGCATTGTTTTTCCAATACATGGATATATAAAAAATGTTTGGAGTTTGAAGCCATGATTTCCAGGTAGGTTCATATTCAGTTGCTATGCTGTGGAGCAGTGTATCTCATTAGGGGATTATGTGGCATAACAAAACATCAAACTCTGCCTTTTAAACTTAGTCAAAGAGTTATATTTTGCTCCAAATGAAGTCATTGGAAAGTTTGGCACTGACATCAATGAAACCAGAATTTCATTCCAGCCATTCAACACTTGGGTGCCAAGTGTTGAGCAAAACATGACACTTCATCCCAACACTCAAAAAGTTAATAGAATAGAGGTCTCTGGTAGCCTCAGTTTAAATTGTACATGCTAAAAGCAGCATACGTGTTTTGTATAAGCTTTATGGATAAGTGAAGTCTGGCTGAATTTTGCTCCAAATATTAATTTGCCGATGACTTAAGGAGGACTAGGACTAATCCCTTAACCCTGCTGGACAACTTGAGGCTGACAGTAATGGATGTGTGAATTCCTGTATTATATTATTCTATTCCTTGACATTTTCCCTTTCTCCTCTCCTCTCTAATTTGTATACATATTTTGTCCTGAAGGATAATTGCTGACATGGACACAGTGTTCATATCAAGCGTAACAATGGAGGATCAAGGTATTTATACCTGTGTGGCTAGTACATCTCTAGACCGTGTTACAGCTGAATCCCAATTGATTGTCCTTGGTAAGTAGTATTTGTTGCCTGGTTTGCAATAAACTAAACACTAATACAGCCTTTTTTTTTTTTAACTTGCCCATTAACTTTATAGAACCTCTGTGGCCTGATTTTCTAAGTTCCTGCAAGTCCAATTAACTCCAGTTAAGGATAAGCTTTCTCAGCATTTCTGGAAACAAGGATCTCAGAGGCAGAGTATTTAATAAAAGATACCTATAACATATCTTCAGCACATTGAACAGGAGGAAGCCATTTTCTCTTGTAAGGAGGCAATCTAATCATTTACAGTGGCTATAGCAGGCCAGGCCCTTTATTTGAAATAACAAAACAGCCCCGCTGTTGCCTTGCAGCCTCAGAGGAGTCTTTCGCCATAGCCTCCACGTAGCGCTCCATTGTGTGTTGCCTGTAAAGTATGGCCCAATGGGAACTTTCTTAAGAGTTGGATAGATTTAACATAGATAAAGCCACCTTGTACTTTGAAATACATTGTATGAACCCCTTCTCTTTACATTGGGGAACACTAGCTTTCTAGAGAAAAAAACCCTTAAGGAACTGACATTTAGCTATGCAAAGTCCTGCTCCTAAGTCCATTGTCTAGTATACTTAATATGTATTAACGACATCTTTCAACATCTTGCATTTCACGGAAATATGAAACTGTAAGTAACCCATGCCCCTTCCCAGAATATCCTGGTAGCATAAGCATACACCTCGGATGTTGGGGCATCTTTACATGTGCTCCAGTGGGGGGGGATAGGGGGATGCTTTAATTAGGGCAGCTTTCAGGAGCCGCTCTAATTTAAGCCCCCACAGCATCTCATGTATTCAGCATCCCATGATTCAAAATGGTAGCGGGGCAAGCTTGTTTGATGAGCTCGAGTTAAAGCGTCCACCACCAGTTTGAAGTGCAGGGACACTGAACGCATGAGACGCTGAGGCTCCTGGAGCATGCTGATTAGCACACTCCAGCAGACTCGATTAATATAATCATGAGACGCTGAGGCTCCTGGAGCATGCTGATTAGCACGCTCCAGCAGACTCGATTAATATAACCCCTTGTGGTAGCTATTGCAGGCCAGAAGCTTTATTTGTAATAGTGAAACAGTTCTGCTGTTGCCTCAATTAATTGAGGCTGCTCTGACGTGCTGTAATTACAGCACCTTGGAGCAGGTCTCCTGCCCATCTACAGGCACTTTGAAGACTTAGGTTCAAGTTCTAGCACTGCCTGATTCTGAACAGGGCTTGAACTTGGGTTTCCATAATACAGGTAAGTGTCATGGTCTCTGCACTATTACATATTGGGGAGGAGGGGAGGCTCTGAATCTCTTTTCTTGAAGCTGTTAAATCTGAATCCCTTGTTTTGAAGCTTAGTTAATTATTTTGATTAGACTAGAGGCAGACTGTTTAGAGCTCCGTGCCTAGAGAAGTCAGACCTGACTCGGACAGAACAGGGAATTTAATGTGGATCTTACCATGAAGCTTTTCTTGGCTAGGAGTGAGTCCACATATTGTTCTGTCTCTTATTTGCACCACTTTTTGGAATCAGAGATTTAGGCATCAAAATTCGAGTTAGGCACCTGAACTTGACTGACTTGCATAAGGTCATAAGAGATGTCTACACCAGAGCAGGAGCCTAAACTCTGTTCATCCAAGTCCCAAACCAGCACACTAACCACCGAACCATACTTCTCACCACTGACCCTATTCTCAACTTGTGCTGTGCCTGCCCAAGCCTCCTTGAAGCTCTGGGGGGGTGTCCAGTGACACTCGATTCCTGGTATCCAGCCTACATATTTGTGCAAGACAACCATGGTACAGGGTCCTTAAAACATCCTTTTAAGGTCAAGTTATTGTTTTCATTTTAATTTCATCCATTTATTTTCTGGCAGAGGCATCTTCAGGATTTAGGACCCTGCAGGTTGGACTGATCTGTGGTTATTTTGTGCTTTAATAATAAATATGAGTTTTCAACCAAAGTAAATTAACAACATGACTTGCAGTTTCTTTACAGTACTGTACTTTATAGTACTGTACGTATGTACAATTCATGAAGGGCTATATCTCCTTTTAAAAACTGACTTGCACAAAAAAGGGGAGGGTAGGGAGGCAATCTTGTGTCCTGTCCTTTCTCAGTCTGGGATTGAAGAGGTCTATAGTTTTTGAAAACAGAAGTTGCAGTAGTTTTCTCCTGTGAGAAGCCATTTTGCAGCTAGGTAACTAGACTGCTAATAGAAAGATACCACGATTTTAGGCATTGGGAGCAGAACATATTTGTACCGACAGTCCTTAACACCCTTTTTTGTTATTCATGATTAATGAGCATATTGTATTAACCTTTGTTTAAGAGAGAGCCCCTCTGCTTTTCCATTTATGATATGAAAACTCAAAAAAACCCCCAAAACCCACGAGCCACCACAAGAGGGCACCTAGCAAAACTCAGGGGGATTGGATTTGGCTTGCTTGACATTTCAAATGTATTTTCCAAGCAGGGGAGAAAGGTAGTATAAACCAAAAAGGTATTTCTTTATGTTTTTCATATCAAAAGGAAAGTGTGAAGGCACAAATCAGCTATTTTATTGGTTTCCTTTTATTCATTTATTTTTTTACTTTAACGTGTTATGGTGATGCAGGTTTCAAATCTTGTTTGCTGGCAGTTTGAACTTGCAGGTTTGGCCAATTGTAGATGTGATTTCTCAGGGAAGGAGAAGGAGGTCAGGAGACGTGTTAGCACAATGCTCTACTCAGGATAATTTGCCTGCACTTCTCAGCAGGATATATTACCCTCATGGCTATAATGATTCCAGTGCTGGAGGCAGCTCATTTAGAGCTAGTTTGCTATCTCCATCCAGCGCTACGTGGGACAGTATAAACGTGCTAAAAGCTTCGCTCAGGACTGTGGCACAGTTTGGAAGCTGCATGGATTTTACTTTTTATCGTCATATATACTGTACCAACCACAACACTAATGAAATGAGGAAGTGGGGACTAGTATTATTAGGCCATCATCATCAGGAGAGCTAATATCTGCCTATATGCATTTTATTTCCCATATCACCCTATTGTACACTGACAAAGAGCAAGTCACAAAGGGCAAAGATCACCATCCCTCTGTGTGACTGTGCCTCGTATTAAACACATTCAGCATAGGAAAGGAAAGACATTTTAAAGACATAGGCTGATCCCCATCTTGGATTGTCTCTGCTGCCTTATATAAACTTCCTGGGGGAAAAAGTCATTCTGCAAAAAAAAAGTCTCTCCTCCCATGCTGTCTTTCCAGCTCCCTGGTTACTCCTCCTTTGTATGGTTTATTTGGGGTTACGTCTCAGTCAGCCAAGTTATAAGATCCAGTAACATGCTTTGATATGCATCTTGGAAAATCAACTCTGATAGATGCATTGGAGGCATTTGAAGGCAGAGTCCCTTTTCTTAGAGCTTAAATAATCTTATCTAGGGCCCAAAGATAAGCATTCTAGCCCAGTCCTTGCCATATACTTGTCACGTTGGCATTTGAGTGCCCTGTTAGCTTTTGGCATGGTTTCTGGAGAAAGAATAAACTGGGAAGACGAGGCATGTGCTTTCTGGTCCCTTCCTGGTGTGGGGCTAGACTGGAAATCTACCCAGGGCAATGGATGCTCTATTCTCATTTATCCCAGCAGAGAATTGATTTTCTGTAGGAGGTCGGATTCTTTCCCCAACCTCTGGTTTGGACAGAGCAAAACCAAGTGAAGCAAATATGACTTTCTGTTCAAACCATATCAAGATTAATTAACATTTAAATAGACTTTAGGATTGACTTAAAAAGAAAAAAAAATATCCCTATATTTATCCCAGATACTATAAAAAGTATCCCAGATACTATAATGTATCTGCCATATGCTAATGCTCCTGAGAACGAACACAGTCTTTATTGGAAGGTGGCAAAGTGAAAGGATTCATCTTGCCTTTGTATAAAAAGGTGAGTTTTAAAAGTTATAGTATTTGGCATTTCTGGGATTTCTGTCTGGTTACAAAACTAATTTAGCCTAGCCAGGTTAGACTAACTTGCAAAGATTGAGTCAATGCAGGCGCAGGCTTTTTGAATGTCTGCCCCTAGCCTTAGAGAAGAAACTGTAATATTCTGAATACTTTTTCAGATAAGGTGTGGGGTCTTTCAGAGTTGGCTTTAGAGAAAGTAGTGCTCTGTTCCCACCGAAGTTAAAGGGAATTTGACCACTGACTTGAGGCTGATAGGCCAATACCCAATGCTTAAAAATATAAAATTTATCTTTGTTCTCCTCTTTCCTCTGTTTTTAGATATTCCTGACCCACCTGCAGCCCTTCATCTCTCAGAGAAACAGGACAGAAGTGTTAGATTATCCTGGAGAGCTGGAGACAGTCATAACAGTCCTATTAATGGTATGAAGGATTCGGCCAACATGGTTTGCTATTTTTAGAGATATGGCGTGCTGTGTCAGTTAGAATAAACATACGGTGCTTATAGAAACAGTTAATTGGTTGTACTGCTGAAGTTCATTTCTTGTTACTTTGTTTTCTTCCCTTCCTGCTACCCGGTTTATATGGGCTATTTCTCTTTCTTGTCGTTTTCCCTCCTAGAGTCTATTATAGAATTTGAAGAGAATCGGTGGGAGCCTGGGAAGTGGCAAGAACTAACCAGAATCCAGGGGAATGACACGACCGCTGTTTTATCCTTGGCCCCTTTTATAAATTACCACTTCCGTGTTATATCTGTTAATGCTGTTGGGAGAAGCCGGGCTAGTGAGCCATCAGCACGCTATGAGACGCCTCCAGCTGGTATATACTGCCATCTAGTATCCTGAGTGTTCATTTTTTAGCATAACGTGTACTCTGGTTTGTTGTATAAGGATATGCATTATGCCAGGACAGCTTTTGATATTTTCTCAGCCCAGGTAATGTGGTTTGGGACTAGATTCTTATACTTTTACAGATCCTGAGCGTCTTATTCCCTGAACAGTTCTCATTGAAGTCAAATTCAGCAGATGCACTTGCAGTGAATAGTTTCCAACAACAGAAGGGTCTGATAGATAGCCCTCCACACCAGCCAGCAGACCCGGAGCCCTACATTAGGGAATACTGCATTTTGCCAAGGGTGGCAATGCAGCAGACACACATGTGCCATGACAGCAGCGTACAGAAGTCAGGCATGATGCTTCCAGGAGTTCTGGCTGGTGCACTGGTTCAGTGTAGCCCTGTGTACAGAAGCAGGAGTTGGATAGGATCTTTAGCAAGATTTATGGTAAGCCTTCCAGCAGCACTCAGCTCGTCACAGATTTCCATTCACAGTGCATTTCTCACTGTAACATTAAATGACTGATTCCTGAAAGTCATTTTATAGGCCAGCTGTTCAGCATTGCATTTGCATTGCCCTCGCTTTCTTCTTTTCTGTAACTCTAGGGTTATTTTTTCCCCTTATATCGTCTCCGCTCCTTACACAGCTTTTCAGCTCTGACTCATGCTAATGATGCACCTTCTGTTTCTCCATGCCCATAGGGGGAAATATTTCTTCTGAATAATCCCCCAACATCTGGTGCTTTGAAATCCAAAAGGACCCAGTTTAGCATCAGCTGATACCTCTAAGAAAGAAGGCTGCCATAGAGTGAAACCATCTAGACAACATGTTTGTTCACTAAGGGCCATGCTGGACTCAAAAGGACCCAGAGAGAAATTGTGGTCTTGCTGGTGATAGATTTCCTGACAGTCTCCTGTGTGCGACATGCCAGTCAACCCTGACTAACACCACGAAACAAGGGGGACCCAGAAGTGAGCAGAGCCAAGTGCAGCTCCGCCCTTGAGTTACAGGAGGGCTTAAAGGCCGGGGCAAAATTATTGTGGATCAGGACTTCACCATTCACTAAAGCATGCGCCTATCTATCAATATAGAAATATTCTGAAGTTGTGCTGTGTCAAGTAATTTAATCAAAGACACGTGACTTAATCAAAGACACTTGTTCTCAAAATCCAAGTCAGAGAATTAACACATCACTTCTCATATTTATCTGTTTGTTTCATGAAGATGTTGGACATGGGGACGTGTGTGGGGGGAGTGGTGGGAGGACACAGAGAAGATTCATTGAAGGCAAACTACACAAACTAACATCCTGGCTTTGATCTTACAGCTCCAGACAAGAACCCAGAAAACATCCGAGTCGAAGCTTCTCAACCCAATGAAATGATTATGAAATGGGAGGTAATATTTAAACGTTCCTATCAGTGGTACTGAGAGTAGCTAGTTGTGTTAGTATGTAGTCAGAAGGAAGGATGGGGTAGCACCTAAGACCATGTCCAGACGAGCACAAGCCGCACAGTTGGGGGCAGAATTTGCTACTGGGATTTCAGGTAGCAAAAATAAGCACCAGAAGAAAAAGTGGTGCAGAGCACGCTACAAAAGCATATGCCAGAATAAAAAAAGCTTAGTCCTCCAGTGAGATGCTCTGGCTGCCAGCCAGAATGTCTCTACTGCTCCATTTGTGCCTTGGCTGCTCTACCACTCCATGAGGAGCTGCGCAAAAATAGGTTGCCTACAGTGGGCAAATTTGTCTCGCAACAAAGCACATGTGTAGGGGCATGTGCTGAGGCACAAAGTAGTAGCATAAATTTGTGCCGCTACTATTTGTGCCATTGTAAGTGCATGTCCCTGCTTGTCTGAACATGGCCCAAGACATTAGCTGGCTAAGAGGTGTGTGAGCCTCATAGGCAACAACCTACTTCATCACTCTGCCTATCAGTGATGCAATATATGAAATGGTTTCTTCTCCCATGTTTTATTTTCTGAAGCATTGTTGAGATTGAGGGTTATCTTAAAAGAGTATACACACTTTCAACATTATTTCTTGCCTTTTCCCCTGGCAAAATATACTATTTGTCTTGCAGGTACCATTAATAAACTTCCTGGGTGTGAAATCCTCAGACTCATTGATGTCAAAGGGACAACTCTAATTGACTTCAGTGGTGTTAGGACTTTTATCTCATATTTTTCTATCTTTTGTTGTCAAGATGAATTTTTGTTTCCTAAATGTCAAGTATTACGGAGAAAGGAAGAAGGTTCATAATATATAAACCCTTCATGTAGTGTGGGGAGAATAAACCCCGAGAGTACACTCTTACACTACATAAAAAAAATCTAAAAATGGTAACAAGCATCTAAGGATTCCTGTAAAATTGTCAAGAGCAGAGTTCCAGCCTTCAAATGTCTACCTGTTTGCTATTTATGTGCCAGCCCTTTCACAGAATATATATTATCTCCCCTTCAAATCAAGGTTTAATATTTGTGGAGGTAACATATTTTGTGCAATTGGCATTAAATATTTTTGCACTGGGTGTAGAGAGCCTATGTTTGACCCTGATTCTATCAGAGGACAGCATACATTTCTGCAACCAACATTTTCAATTTAGACTTGGGTTTCTTTCTCAGAGGATGTGGTCTTCTGGGTCTATTGACTTTCCCTCTAATAAGAAGCTTCGTTCTACAATATATTCCATAGTCAGTTAAAACCTTCTATTTTTATACTATAGATGCATAGTGGTAGCTACCAGCACAGACACATATTGTTCTGAATTATTTGTCCCACACCCAGCAATGTGTTAAGTGCCTTATTGAGCAGATAGATAGAGATGTCAGCCAAAAAACTTACAATCTTTAGTTCAGATGCTGCACAAGTGTAAGTGAGAACAGACTTTGAAGGGAATGGAATAGGATTCTAGAGGCTTTGATACATAAGGTCATGTTGGTTCAATTAGGGATATAAATTTGTGACAGCATTTTTATTTGATTTGCTTTCTTATACACTTCATGGCAGAAATGCTGTGCCTTATATGCATGAAAGACTTTCTGTCCAGGAAACAAAAGCCAAAGATACATACACTGATTCTGTAAAATGATGTTAATTTGCCAAGTTTGGATTAACACATGAGATGAGCATTAGCAGCAGGGTTTTCAGCCAAGGATCTGCAGCATCCAGTGAGATCAAATAAATAGTCAAGCAGTGCTGAAATTTAACTCTAAACTAGAATTTATTTTCCAACATGAATTTTTATTTTCTTCTCTGAGTGGGAAGCCAAAATATGCTTTGGCACAAGCACCAGAACACCATTTTCCCTAAAGACAGCTCTGTAATATTCTGAATACTTTTTCATATAAAGTGTGGAGTCTTTCTGTTTCTTCTCTAAGGCTAGGGGCAGACATTCAAAAAGCCTGCACATGCATTGACTCAATCTTTGCAGCTTAGTCTATCCTGGCTAGGCTAAATCAGTTTTGTAACCAGACAGAAATCCCAGAAATGCAGGCACATGCCTGCAGTTGCTCAGGGTAGAAGCTGGATGTGCTAGAGCATCCCTCCTTCCTTCCACAGCATGGAATTGAGGGGGACATGGCCAGGCTTTGGCAGGATGCTGTGATTAGCCCAGCAAGGAATTGATAACAGTGTTTATCACCCAGTTCAACAGAAGGACATTACCAGCTACTTGTTGATTCTGCCTGTTGATTTAGGAGGGACCGTAGCCAGTACGTGGTCTGCTAGCTAATACACAGACACCTCCTCAGCAAGGCAGAGGGGAGTGGCGAGGGGGAGTGGGGAAAGCAGCCCGCAGCCTCTGGAACTGCAGCCAGGGAGCAGAGGAGAGGGCTCAGCCCTGCTGTGGAGCAGAGAGCCCCACCCAGCCCCGAGAGCATGCTGGGATGCTGGGGGAGTCTGGTTTATCTTAAACCAGCCAGGGGTCTGGGACAGACATTGCATAAACCAGTTTGAGCCAAACAAGTTAAGTCTGATACTATATTCAACCAGGTTTCTCTCAAACCGCTTTCAGCCATTCTCAAACTGGTTTATGTGCACTGAACATCTGTTCTGTTACAGGTTTAAACCAGTTTCTGATCACTTAAACTGGTGTATGTGTAATGTCTGTCCCTAACCTAAGAGTACGTGTGTTCCTATACTTTGTCTAATGAAGTTAAGATATTCATGAAAAAAACAGTTAATGTGTATCAAAGAGTAAATACCCTGGTTCTACCCTGGACCTAAATTTAGTCTGAATGCAAGTCATGAATCCTCCATTTGGCTTTGGGTCAGATTTGCGATTTGTTCCATCTAGCTAGTTAAAAAGCCATAACATCAGACAGGTGAGGAAGTGAATTACCTGAATCAGTGCTCATTAACTTTGTACTTTGTTTAACCCCACGTACTTTTCCAAGAGGGTATAATTTCCATATATATCAAATAATTAATTTGCCACTTTTCTTAAACCTTATGCTCCTAGAGAAAAATTCAGAATTACTTAATACTTTAAATGCTAAGACAGTTTGTTTTACTATCTTAATACTTTCAGAAGTCCCTTAAGCTTTTTATTTTGTATGTAGCCAACCACAATCTTTCTGCAGAGTCTTTATCTAGATGGGTTTGACGGTATATAGAAGAACATTTCTATCCCTCTTCTACTGGAACCAGTAAAAGCTTATCTAGGGCAGTGGTTACTCCTTTCTGTCATTGAGAATATGGAGGGTTGTTTCCTGCAGCTTTCTTCATAAAATTGTGAATTGCTATTCTCTCTATCTAGCATGTAGATCAGAGGGTCAATTTGTTAGGGCAGTACTTCAGTCCCTATTCAGCTTGGACCCTGTGTTCATCATCTATTTAAAGACTGACTTACCAAGCAATCCCACGTGCATGAGAATACAAAGTAAATTCATAGACATGTAGGTTATTTGCAATAGGATTTCTTCATTGTAGACTGTATAGGCATATTTCCTGCTTATTCCCCTACATCCTTTGAAGACCTATGAAATTGTGCCTCTTGAAGGAATTGAAGCAGTAGAGGGCACCATATCTCTTTTTAGGGCCTTGTCTTCAGAAAACTGGTGCTTAAATCTGTGTGGTGTGGCGCTGGTCTAGCATGCGGAGTCTGTCTGCTGATGCAATCCAGCACGTAGGCATGATCTCACAGGCCAGATCCAGTTGTGGAGGGACCATAAACTGGATCTGATCCAGTGCATGGGACCATGTCATCCTGAGTGTGGAGCTCCCCATGGGTCCAGATGGCATGGCTCTGTGTAAGCATTATAATGGACACAACTATGAAAAAATACCATTACCTAAGCTGTACTGGCTGACACTTCCCATGAGTACAAATATATTGAGTCTCAAAAAGCTCCTGTTACAAGTCATTAACCCCTATTTTTATTTCCTTTAAAATGTAACACTGAACTGAAAAAGTTCTGTAAATTCGCTGACAGCAATGTTAAGTTTCCATGACTGGAAACGCAGGCAGTGTTTTGAACAAAGTCCCTGTTGCAGGGCTTTATCAGTGCAAAGGTCAGAGTTTAAGTACTCAGCAATCATTTTCATTTAGTCAGTTATGCCCATATATTATATAAAGCTTGTAACAAACATGAAGAAAAAGCATAAAATTTAAAGTTTGTTTAAGATCCAGAAAAAGCATGTTAGTACTTTTCAGGGGGAGTTCATGCACTTTGCTGGATTTGAGCCATACTGTATTAATTTATACTTATGTCTGGGGAAAAAGGTTGCTTGAGTATTAATTATGTACCTATATTCTGGGGGAAAAGTTGTTTGATTTACTGTATTCTTCAATGGTTATCTAAATTACAAATACATTTTAAGAGTAGCTTGACATAAGGACTCAAAGTTCAAATTCAGCCCATGGTTGGTCGTGTCTGTCCATGGTCCATGTGAGATGAGTCACAAGCACCGAAAAGAATGGTGAATACAGAAGCATTAGGAACTATTTTGATTGAATTTATTTTGATAGTACTCAGGAATCAGTTACCATGGTGGATTTGTTGTACTGTCCATGCTTTTTATTTATGGAAAAGACAAGCCTTGTTTTGGATTTTTTTTTTCTTTTTCTTGATATGCAAGAAAATATCCTCAAGGACCCATCCCTTCCCACCAAAATCGGAAAGAAAAAAAAGAAAATGAAAAATTGCATTTCTTTCACATTTTTGTTTCACAAAAACGTCTGTACTACTCACAATCAGTTCTGACACCAGCAAGGTTCACTCTTGCTCCATCACCCCAGAGAAGATGTCATGGAAAGAGAAGGTTTTTTCCAGCTCAAAGATTAGAAGAACCATGACAGAGGAGTTTCAAGGCTCCTTTGCATCTTGCCTGCAGCACCCAGCCTTGTGCAGCTCCCCAAATACATCTGAACATTTTTTAACCTGGATAATTATGAATGCTCACTGTGTACCTCGATGCAATAATGGACTGATTAAAATCATTCATGTTTAATAGCACAGTTGGCCAAGTAACATGTTAAACGAAAAAATACCTTTTGAACTAAATAACCTTAATCAGTGTGTGTCTCATGGCCAGCCATTGCCATACTGCTTACACTATTCATAGATGGTAAGGCTGGAAGGGACCTTGGAAGATTATCAGATCCAGCCTCCTGCACCAAACAGACAAGACAGCTGGAGTCAAGTAACCCCAGCAAGGTGATGGTCTAGTCTCCTCTTGAAGATTTCCAGGGTAGATGATTGCACCACCTCTGGAGGAAGCTTATTCCACAGTTTGGACACCCTGACTGTGAAGAAGTTTTTCCTAATGTTGAGCCTGAATTGATCTTCCAGGAGTTTGTGGCCATTACTCCTAGTTTTTCCCTCGGGTGCCCTGGTGAACAGTTGCTTCACCGAGCCCTTGATGTACTCCCCTAGTGTCGCAGTAAGCTGCTGCCAGGCCCCCTCTCACCTTTTCTTCGGGTTGAAGAGTCCCAGATCCCTCAGCTTTTCCTCATATGGCTTGTATAAATTAATGTCAGTTAGTTAGTGACCATGCTGTGCTTGAATTCCTCAGCCAAGCAGTAAAAATAGTAGCACAGCACTTACCAATTAAGTATGAAGGCCTAGTTGGGGGAGTTTTGGTGCATATTTAAAACACTACAGGGTAATCTAAATTTTAATGGCCCAACTTGCTGTGATTCATAAAAATTTGAAATAGCATGCATTTTAGATGTAATAAAGATCACACATTTTTATGTCACCATAAAACAAAGAAAACTTGCAGTGAAACAAAAGTTAGTGCTTTTAATATGTAGAAATATATGCTTTAGTATTTAACCTGCTTTTAATCCATCTGTTTTGCAGTCCATGCTGCTTTAAAGTCAGAACAGCTTAATGCAGTTAAAAGTAGCATGACAGCAAAGGTTACATTTTTTCCCCTCCTTTCTCTCCTAATAGTATGAGCTACTGCTCCAAAATTATTCACCCCTTAAGCTGCTGTTTTATGATTACAACAACAAAGGCAATTCAGTATCTCTTTTAACTTCTTCTGTAGCCACTGAAACCTGTGGAGCGCAATGGCCCTGGACTGGAGTACAAAGTCAGCTGGCGGCAGCAGGGGGTGGAAACTGACTGGAATGAAGAATTGGTGAAAAAACATTCCTTGCCATTGGGGAATACTCCCACATTTGTGCCTTACGAGATCAAAGTCCAAGCAGTAAATAGTTTAGGATCTGGGCCTGAACCAAATGTTACCACTGGATATTCAGGCGAGGACAGTAAGTAACTGGAGTATTTTTGTAAAACAAAAATATGTTATGCGAACAGTTTGTACATTGCTAAATAAATGAATGTCAAATAATGATTAGACAGTATTACAACTTGTTCATCAGTCATATCTAAGCACTTTTTACCTGCGTACTAAGAGAAAGAGAAGCTTTCCATATCCATTTGGTTGCTGAGAATTTTAGTTACAGAGGGCTTGACTTCCAAAGCAGTTGGTTATGCTTCCACATGCAAGTGTGTTTCTAAAATTGCTAGTCTAATTCATACACTTAAAAAAGAGCCTGGTGGAGCAAAGCATTTAAACTCATGTGAAATGTCAGGTGTGTTAGTTGACATCAGTTGGATCCAGAAATTAAGAGCTTTGCTTGACTGGGGACTAGCAATTGTGCTATCTGGTAAATCTTCTTCATTGCACCCCAGATGTGTGGCCTATTCTAAAGGAACAAGGACCAAGGTGGGGCAGACTTGTATCTTTCCACCAATTTTTATGTTAATTTACAGACCAGGTAATGCCACAATGGGGAAGCAGGTGGAATCATATTTACAGTTCCAGGAATACCATGCAGCCTGAGAAAAGTAGCAGTACCAGGATTAAAAATGTTGGTACCACCCCATATCCACAGAAGACACCTTAGGACATTTTACATTCCGTGATGCAAAGACATTTATCTGTCGTATGCACTCATGTATCCTCCCCGCATTGTGCAAGAAATAGTAGCATGCTTGTCATGTAGTCAGCTGGCCAACCATCCCTTTTCAGGCTGGATCTATTTGCAAGCACTTCAGCTGCTCCCAGTGAGTACAGCTAGCAGCAACAGCAATATTTCACAGTTCATATGATTGTTTCACAAAAGCTATTCTTACAGTAACATCTCAGACCTCCGATGTTGCAGGTCCAACTCTGAGCCTGTAGTTAAAATAAGGACCTAAGTTTGTTGCCACCGTAAGTGGTGACCACTTCTCAAAGTGAGATCTACCTTTGATGATGATCAGGTACTCTTCTTCCATTTCTACATTGTGCTTTTCTTCTTAATTGGCTGTCTTAATACAATTTCTCATTCATGTACCACAGTGTCCATTTGTAGAATCATCGATTTTAAGATTAAGTGGCCGTCTAGTACCGTGTATACTTGTTCCAGTCTACTATGGGATCATGTTTTTTGTTGTCCTGAAATAACAGTATCACCGTGTGATACCAGCCCCATTTCTGTACCCTCCAATCCATGGCACCATAGTGCTACCTAGTAATTGTGTCTTTCCAGTGCGTTCTAATAAAGTAAGACAAGAAGTTATCCTGCTCATGAAATTAGTGCTGGTGCCCCAGGTGATGGAGTTCATACAAAGATGCTTGTGCCTAGCGTAAGATGGTTGAACTCCCTGCTACTCTAGGATGCCGAACCAATCCCTGCCCAATCAATAGCAGAATTGTTCCTTCCTCTGTTGTTTACAAAATGAAATTGTGAGAGATATTTGGAGGATTATAATTTCTCCAGCTGCAATAATAAAAAGCTAAAAAGCACTTTAGTAAGCAACCCAGTTCAGCAACAACAACAACAACCAAGTCCTTTTTTTAGGATTTAGGGATTTAAATCAGCAAGGGAGTAAATACCACTGTAGCCAGCTCACACGGGGAGCCAAGATTTCCCGGTCCAAATTACAAATGCCCAATCTCTTAGTCCTTAGCAGCAGGGATTGGAGCTTGTTGTGGTAAGATGGGGCCAGTGGTGTCTCCAAATTGTACATCTTTCTGATTTTTGAGATTAATCTTATTATTGAAAATCAGGCAGCTTTCATTCCATGTTGAGTCTGAAAGCTTCAGATTATTTCCTTAACTGCAAAATAGACAGGGAGCCTGAATGACCTAACAAATAGCCTCCAAGAGATTAGCCAATTCAAGCAACTGAGTGTTTTATACAATAAAAACACTTTCTTAATCCATCATGGCATGCACTAGCCATTACTGAATTGTATTATCTTGTAAGCATTGGCCCAGGGCTGTTCTTCTAGTTTCTGCTCTTTCGTTGCTTCATTACATGAGATTAGTCCATACTTTCCTTGGGTCTGGTATTGTGGAATATCTTTGGAAGTTTTAAGCGGAGGGTAGACAAACATTTGTCAGGGTTCGTTTTGACAGGAATGCTCCTTCCTCGAACAAGAAACAGATAATCTCCTGAGGTTCTTTCTTTGTTTCTGGAAACCTAGTTTCTTTTAATTGCCATGAAAACAAACATCGTTATCATTAACATCAAAAGGGAACGTCTGATATTTATTACAGAAGGAAATGAATTCTCTATCAGGCTTCCTTATGTATTCCAAGGCATGACAAACTCTAAATATGTTTGAAAAGTTGCCATTTTACCTGACTCTCTGGGGGTTTTTTCCCCCTGTATTTTAGTTTTCTCTTACTTTTATTAGAAGCCTCAGTGGGATCATTCGCAAAAGTAAGCAACTCCTTGAGAGTGAACGGAGAGTTAGGGACATTTTTTCCCTATGGCCCATGCATGAACCATTGTACAGTATAAGATATAATGAAAAATGAAAGTGAATTGAGAGAGGTTTCTCCTTGCGTTTTATTTCTTTTGAAATATGCTCTCTATTGACTTGATTCAAACCTATGTATATCACTGGAAAGACTCATTGGTCAGTAGGTCTCTGACCAATGCCTCATTAATCCAGGCACTACAATAGATTGCTTAATGCTTTTGTGATGATAAAAACCCTACTGTTGAATTATGAATGGTAATTACTTACGAAAGAAACTTCATGGTTGCCTTTTTAAATGGTATGTCAATCCCAAATTTGATCCCCTCAATATAATAAGGGTGATGGCCACCATCTTGGCTGATCTCGGGTATTGAACTGGAACTCAGCATGAGTCTCTAGCTTGCACCAAGGATCCAGGGGTATCCTGTAAGATATAGGATACCCCAGCTACACATATTATAAGAATATGGACTCGTAAGTACCTATAATATGTAATACTTGTGTATTTACAGTTCCAGATGCTGCTCCTTCCAGTGTAATGGTGGAGGTCCTGAACAGCACACTAGTTAAAGCAATGTGGTCCAGAATTCCAAGAGACAGAGTTCGTGGACGCTTAAGAGGCTATAAGGTTGTTGTTTTGGGGGGGTATTTTTTTTTGTAATAAATAACCCTCTATCTGTTCATATGGTTAAATGAATCCTGCCTATATGTTATGTGATTTTTGCAAGGATGACCAATCCCTGACCACTCAATCTGAGAATCTACTATTTTCAATACAGGTCATTTGGTGGAAAACAAGGAGTTTGCTGGATGGAAAAAGACACCACCCGGAGAAACACTTCCTAACTTTTATAGGAGACAGAAACCATGGAATGATTCCTGGTCTAGAGCCATTTAGTGAATTCCACTTAACTGTTTTAGCTTTCAATGGAAAAGGAGATGGGCCTGAAAGCTCCCCAATCATGTTCCATACTCCAGAAGGAGGTAATAATACGAAAAAATTGAGGCAGAGAATACTAAATAAATATCTTTCATGACCTAGATCAAGTAATTTTAGAGAGACTTATATATGGACCTTTATTATTATGCCTGTGGGGGCAGATTTAGAATTGCCATAGTTAAAGGCAAAATGCAATCTCCCATCTTCTCCATTCAGGTTCAGATTTTTAAAGACCATTTCACTGGGGAAGGGGAGAAGTGTCTTCCTTGTTAAGGCAGGACATGGTTCTCCTCCTAGGTTTATCTGAGCCTATTTTAATCTAAATCCTATCTCCTCTGCCATTTGCTTTGGTGTCCTTTTGTGACTGTGGTGTGACAGAAGTGCTAATGAGCTCTTGTGGACTTTTGGACAAAAAGTTCTCTGAAAATGATGGGGACTGGGCTCAGTGACTCAGACGGCCAATTCCAGACCAGTCTTCCAATAGAAGTATCCATCCCTGGGAGATGCTGAGCACACTTGACTCCCTGTTAAGTATATAGAAGTTAACAAGTGGAGCCCTTTTAGGAGGTGTGCAGAACCTTTCTTGAGTGGAGAATAGCACATGTTGGATCAATATGGAAAACTATATGCTTTGGATGGAATTATATTCCAGTCTGATGGGAATACGGAGAAACAGAGCTGGTAAAATGCAATCTGCCTTCAATAAAACTAAGCTAATTTCTTGTGTTTACAGTTCCTGAACAACCACATTTTCTAAGGATACTAAACTTTGATAAGGATTCTGTCACACTGTCATGGGGACTTCCTAAGAAATCAAATGGCTTTCTTACTGGCTACAATTTGCAATATCAGATAAGTAAGTAAATATTCGACTTTGCCCTAGAGTTTTAGCAAATAAGGTATGGTTTGTGTAGAAACAGTTATTTAAAACAGATGCTAGCCTACAAACTGTTTTTAAAACTCAGATAACAACTTGATTGGCAAAGAAACAATGTTCCAAAATTACAGATGTTAGTTCAGTCTGCTAGGGGGCAGGCCTGCTTCATTTTTCAGAGAAAAATGTTTTTGACGTGTTCGTTCCCAATCTGTTTAAACTCACAGTGTAATCATGCTATATTTAAAGTTGCATCCACTAATCAAACACTGTAATACAGGATTTGAAATTTGCAAAGGCTATTTAATCCAGCAGTCAAAGGACGCTCAGAAAACTCTGAGCTGTTTTTAGAAAGACACCTAATTTCAAAGAGGAAATAATTTTCAGTGATGAGGCAAGAATTGTACGCATGGTTATGGATCAGAATAATTAACCACACACACTTAGCAGTGGTGAGCAAAGATATAAACACTTTTTGTGAATTCAGGTTTTGAAATGAATTCATTTTAGTGTGTTCTCACCCTGTTTGTGAAACCCTGCATTAAGATTCAGGTCTATGTGACTTCTGGAGTAGCCACCATCAGCTGTATTTCATTACTGATTTTCAAGTTACCAACACTACCAAATGTTGTGAAAGGGATAAGTTTGCATGCTAATTCAAGGCATTGTGTTGAAAAAAAAGTACTAGTGCACAACACAATTGTATTATCAAAGAAATTGCTGTGAACTCTTCAGTAATTTCTCATGTTTTCTAAAACAGCAGCATACATACCTTTGGAGGTTACATATACTCCCTATCCTCTAGTTCTGAGGTGGGTTTCATTTTGCCAATCCAACAGGCTTCGGAGGAGCCACTCCTTTTGCAAATACGAGTTGATAGATGTCGCACAAAAGGAGGGGATTTGTCATAAACTTGCAGCATGTATGACTCAGAGTTTGAGAACATGGGTAGAAGTTTTGGAGCAAAAAATCCACAATCAACTTCAATTTATGTATATTTGAGGTTCTAGAAAAATATTTTGCTTAACTGAGTAGTAGGGCTGTGCAAAGATTTGGGTGGTGATTCAATTTGGAGGAGATTCAGCCTGATTCGGTGGCTGAATCTCCAAATCCAAATCAAATCAGGGGACCAATTTAATGGTCTGAATCGATTCAAAGTTCCCTGAATCTTCGGAAAAGATTTGGAGAGCTTTGATGATTTGGGCAGTCCCTGGTGGCTGCAGCAAAGTGCTGCAGCAACTCCAAGCTGGTAAGTACTAGGGGTGGAGAATGGAGAGCTGGGCAAGGGGGGAGGGGACCATGGGGTGACACCTACCAGCCCCCCAACCCCCACCCGCTC